GCTGGGCCTCTTATCTGGCAATTGGAGGCTGTAGGTTTCTGGCAGCTTACCTGTGTTGGCTGGAATCAGCAAGGCTGGAACTTTCAGGCAATTCTAGGTTGCCTGTTTTCCTTTCCTTTAGCTTTCTTCAGCTCCTTTTAGATAGGTGCTGCAGGGTGTTTATCTGCCTGGGGCCCCCTGCAGTGCTGCCTCCCTCATTTCTGCTAATGCACTGGGAGATTCCTTTGAGGTAGAGTGCCGAGGCACTGGTAGTGTTCCAAGCTGGCCTCCATGAGTTACCCTGCCCTTAAGGAGGCACTCAGAGATCCAGGTGTTGATGTTTGCCTGCTCTACCACCTGGGCTTCAGGATTCTTCCTGGGTGACAACTGGAGGCTTCAGGGCTCCAACAGCTTTCCTGGTATTGAGCTGGAACCAGCAAGGCTGAGGCTTTAGGAAGCCTTTAGGTTGCTTTCTTTAGCTCCTTTCAGATGAATGCCGCAGGGTACTTATTGGCCTGTGGCCCCTTGTAGTCCTGCCTCCCTTATTTTTGCTGAGGTACCAGGAGACCCGTTTGCTGGGCCGCTGCACTGCTGCTCCCCATCTTTCTTCTAGTTCAGCTGTTACAGGGTTTTTTTTTTTCTGGGGTGATATTTTCTGGGTTTTCAGAGGTTAATAGGGGAGAGTGAGAATGACTACCTTTTTACTCCACCATCTTTGGCTCCCCCAAAGCTATTTTAAAACCCTACAAAATGATGCTGTCAAAGTGATACTCCCAATATGCTAGCATATTGAAAACATAACAGCGTTCACTGCATTGGAAAAGATCAGTTCATGTCCCAATCCTAAAAAAAGGAGAATGCCAAGGAATGTTCAAATTACCAAGCCAATGCATTAATTTCACATGCTAACAAGATTATGCTTAAGGTTCTGCAAAGTAGGCTTCAACAACTGAGAATTAGTAGAAGAGTAGGCTGCTTTTTGAAGAGGCAGAGGATCTAGAGACCAAATTGCCAACTTTTGCTGGATTATGAAAAAAGCAAGACAGTTCCAGGAAATTATCTACTTCTCCTTCATTGACTATACTAAAGCCTTTGACTGTGTGGATCACAACAAAATGTTGCAAATCTTCAAAGAGATGGAAGTACAAGATCGTCTTACTTGTCTCCTGAGGAACCTGTACGGGGGCCAGGAAATTAGTTAGAACCAAACCTGGAACAACTGATTAGTTTAAGATCAGAAAAGCAATACAGCAAAGCTTTATATTGTCACCTTATTTGTTTAACTTCTGTACAGAGTACAACATGTGAAATGCCAGGCAGGATGGATCAAAAGCTGGAATTATGGTTGCTGGGGAAAATAAAAACAATCAGTAGAAAGTGAAGAGGAATCAAGAAGCCCCTTGAAGGGGTGAAAAAGCTGGCTTGAAATTTCACATAAAAAAAAAAAAACTAAGATCTTGGCAACTGGTCCCGTCACTTCCTGGCAAACAAAGAGAGAAGAAATGAAAGCAATGTCAGATTTTACATTCTTGGTCTCAAAGATCACTGCAAGTGGTGGCTGCAAATATAAAATTAAAAGAGGCTTGCTCCTTGGAAAGAAAGCTATGGCAAATCTGGACAGCATATTAAAAAACACAGACATCACCCTGCCAGCAAAGGTCTGAAAAGTGAAAGCTATGGTTTTCTCAGTAGCAATGTATGACTGTGAGAGTTGTACTCTAAGGAAAGCTGAGCACCGCAGAATTGATGCTTTAAAATTGTGGTGCAGGAGAAGGCTCTTGAGAGTCCCTTGGACAAGCAAGGAGATCAAATCAGTCAATCTTTAAATAAATCATTTCAGGCTTACTTACTTACAGATACTCTTTGATCCAGTGACACTAGCCTCTTGGCTACTCCACAAACAACCCCATCTCTTGGCTCTGGGCATTTTCCCTAAACTTACCTCATATAATGAATGATCTCTTTTCTCCACTCCGACCACTGACTTCCCATCTACTCACCATTCTTTCCTTTAAACAGTGTAACAGCTAGTTACATTGACATCTTTGACTTACTGATGCTCGTGAATGAATTTGTCAAACTATTATTCACAGAACAAACTGAAGTTAGACAATTAAAGTTGCAGAACCACATGGCCTTTGATTTTCTACTAGGCAGTCAATGAAGTGTCTGTACCTTAGTAAAGGCTAAATGCTTCACTTTTGTATCTGATCAAATCCAAAGTATTACTTATCATTTGAACCAAATTGGAAAGTTACAATCAGAATTAGAACAGAATGAGACATTTGGGGTTGAATGCCAGGGTTAGGTTCGATTATCATCCCTATGCAGGTGACTCCCAGATCTCTATCTCCAATTATAGTAATTCCCCTGAAACATGGGAGGCACTGGCACAGGACCACTGAGCATGGTGTGTCACATTAAAGGAGTTACTGTGCTCTATGAGCAAAGTGGAGTTGAAGTAGCTCTAAAGAAACAAGAGATATGAAAACTTAGAGACATCTCCACCCCAAATCTTCATGTGGACTATTTGTACCTGACATGCAGCAGAGCCTTCTGAGGTTATGTTGGTCTGATCAGCCATAGCTGGGCACATTGTACCTTGATCCCAACACAGTAATGCCATTTTGGTCCTGTTTGAGAATGAGGGACAACAGTCACCAGCCTATTGGACATCTTGTATCTTACAGACATATCAAGCTCAACATGTCTAAAACAGGACTCATGATCTCGCTCGCTCCGAATCCTCCCATTTTCCAGACTTCTGTATGGCTGGCCAAGGCACCGCCATCGTCCCAGTATTCCTAGTCTGTAATTTTGCTGCCACCTTTTGTTCATGTGTCTCTTTTCCCATACATCCATTCAGTGGATATTTCTTGTTATTTCTACTATGTGCCCAGTTTCCATATATTTACTTTAGCAAAATGTTTACAAATGTGCACCAGATGAATAATGATTAAGCAGTCCATTGAAGTAGTAAATTTCTTCTATCCCGGAACTGGACAAAAACCGCACCAGAATTCTACAACGATTGGAAAACTGGATGGCAATAAAACCAACACCAAATACAGGCAAACAAGCCAGAATCCTTCTAGCATCAGCTTTCTCTCTTGAATCAGATGCTATGGAAAACTCATCAGGAAACTGACCATCCTCCAAGATTGAGTCAGTTTGGGTACTAATTGCACATCAACATTCTGCTCTTTGGCCCTCTGATTGAAGGGCGGGAAGGCAAAATAAAAAACTCCCCAAATCTCTATTTAAAGAGAGCTTCCAGACTTGCCATTTCCTCATTTCCCACCAGTTCACATTTCTTGGACTGGAAGCCAGTGTGCAGCTGCACCAGGTACTTTCTTCTTCAGCTAGCTGTCTTTCCTATTCCATGTTTTCAGCTTTCTTTTGTGTTTTCTTCCACCATTGGATTATACACTCTTTGAGGGGACTTTCTCTTTCATATTAGTATCCTCATTGCCTGTCACAGTGCTTAGTACACAGGTCCTTAAACAATGCTTATGACTGAGTGACTCATAGCACAACCAGACTCAAGCCAGAGGCATGTGTAGATTGAAAGTCTCTGTGTCCAGAGACTTCAAGAATGGAAAACTTCACCTCAGAAAGCCCAAGGGTTCCAAATGCCCCAGGGTGGAGACCCCGGAACTCCAAGAAAATGCAGACTGTAGGTTTCTAAGTGATCTGATGCCCCTAGAACTCTGTACTGAGATATTATAAAGGTTACTTCATATACAATCCTCTGAACCTCAAATGTCCCGAGAAGCTTAACCCTCAGAAGTAAAAGTCAGTGAAGAAACCCAGGGCGAGACCAAGCAGGGCTGACTACTCCACCCATAAGTACAGCAAGGCACAGAGACTGGCCTGGCCGAGAGCCTTAGGTAGGGAACTCACATGGGAGAGATAAGCAATCTAAAACAACACTGACAAATATGAAATTACATGTGTGTGGATATATACATATACACTCATGTGTATATATACACACAAACACATATGCACAAATAGTACACACATACATGTCTATGTTTGTTGTGTGTGTGTATATATATATATATATATATATATATATATATATATATATATATATATATGGAATATGTGTATGGGAATGGCTGAATAGCTATCTATAATCTATGATTGTGATGGAATACTACTGTGCTATAAGAAATGACAAGCTCGATGATTTTAGAAAAACATGGATGGGGCAGCTAGGTGGCATAATGGATAAAGCACCATCCGTGGAGTCAGGAGGACCTGAGTTCAAATCTGGCCTCAGACACTTGACACTTACTAGCTGTGTTACCCTGAGCAAGTCGCTTGCCTCCATTGCCTAGACAAAAAAACAAAAAAAAAAAACAAAAAACAAACAAGGATAGACCTGTATGAAATAATGAAGAGCAAAATGAGTACAATCAAGAGAACATTACATAGAGTAACAGCAATATTGTTTTAAAAACAACTTTGGGAGAATAAGACATTTTGACTCTTATAAATACCCAGATTAACTACAAAGAACATATGAAGAAAGACACTGTCTGAATCCAGAGAAAGAATTGATAAACAGAAGTACAGATAGAATGATTTTATGTGTGTGTGTGTGTGTATACATACATACTTATTTATGTCTATCAGCAGCCATCTCTAGGGAGGGGGGAGGGGAAAAGAAAAAAATACATAATAACATTATTATATATTTAAAAGGAATAACAAGTTCTACATAATGGATTTGCAGTTTCATATGCAATCATATTTTTATTATACTGCTTGGAAATGCTTGTTTTATTCTATAAATTAAAAATAAAATAAATAAAACATAAAAAAGAAGATCTTGAAATACCAAGGAATCGCAATCTGGATCACAAAATACGTGGGAGCTTCAAATCTAAATAAGAGCAGATTTTCAAATAAAATATTCAAAAAATTTCTATCCCAAAACTCAGAATTAATTTGCAAAGCTAAGTAGATTCCTATAAGGGAAAAAGGGGGAACTTTAATGTAATAGGAAAAAATCCTAATAACAAGGCTTGAGTAGCACCTCAAGAGCAAAGAGAAACCTAGAAATTTACTTGAGTAATTAGAAAGGGCTTTATGACGATGAAGTGCTAATATTCCATGATTCCCATCCTAGAAAAAAGTGGCCTCCATAAGTTTTCTTGGTTTTTCTTCTCAGACTTTGGCTTGACATATTTTCTTGGTCATCGTGGAAGAGGCTTTGGGGGAGTTGGGCAAAGTTGCGAGCTCTCACTCTACCATCTTAAGTCTGCCCTCTAATATTAAAAATAGGAAGGAAAGAAAGAAGTGCCCCTCCAGAAGCTTAATGAGTTCAAAAGATACTCAGAGTTAAATAAGAAATCATAGGACTGATTTGGATGCAAGCTGTTTTAATGGTTTTAAGAGACAGAAGAGAAGGGAAAGTAGAAGGAATATGTTAGTGTAGACATGAGGAAGGAGGGAATAACTATTCCTTACCTCATGTTTGGGGTGCATGAGGAAAGAGTATACAAACACACAGAAAGAAGTAGGGGAGTACGTATCAAATTAAACCTCATTTTTAACAAGTTCACATACATAACCAATTTGGTATAGAAACACATCAGACTCAATAGAGAAATAAGCAAGGATTGGGGTGGAATGGGTAAAGGGAAGGATAATAGCAAGGAGGGAATATATTCATTAGTAAACCTATCTCTCTACTCCTGAAGAAGGGACTAAAAGGCGAAATAAGAGAACAAAACGCTAAGGGGGTGTCCTCGATTGTCCTTTAGGCGTGAGGAATGGCTGCAGCGGCAGGAAATGAGAATGAAGGATTGATATTGCACTATGTGAAACTGCAAATGAGATGATTTCAGAGAACCTTGGGTAATATCAGCTGATTCAGAGTGAAGGGAGCACAACCAGCATCATAATTTATGCAACGAATACATTGTAAAGGAAAAGAAGGGTAAGATTTAAGAACTCTGAACAATGCAATAACCAGCCATGCCTTCAGAGGGCTTCTGTTGAGAAGAACAAAGAACAAGAACATATGTTTTTGAACAGGACCACCATCTGGTTGCATTTTACCTAACCCTTTGTTCTTTCTCTTTCTCCCCCCTGCTCTCTCTGTCTCTCTTCATTTGGAGGTTTAAGTGTGAGTGGCTTCCTACTTTTCCAATCTTCTTACAGTTCATTTCCTTCCTCTCACCCCATGAACCAGCCACACTGGCTGATTAATTCTTTTTTTGTCTTTACACAAAACAGTTTCCTAGCTCCAGACTTTTGTAGTGGCTGTCCCCCATTCCTGGACTGTGATCCTCCCTCCAATCTGCCTCTCAGTTTGCCTAGCTTCCTTTAAAACTCAGCTCCAGTCCCACCTAGTGCAGAATCCTTTTCCTGGCCCCCATAACTGCTAGTGACTTCCTGTCTGAGATTATAACCCCCCCATCTATTCTGTATATATCTTGTATATTTCTCATCATCGTAGACAGATACACTTGGTCTGTACAACTGTAGGCCAAAATGGATATCCCCAATAGGCATCATGGTGCTTCAGTGGTGGGAATTTGAGGAAGATATACTAGTGGACAGATGAGATGTGGGCAGGAGAAAAGAGGAAGGGAGAGAATTTCCTTTTGAGAGGAACCCAAACTTTCAGTCTCAGGAGACACTGGCATAGACTGTGGACTCTGTGGATTTCTCCTGGGGGTCTGCTTGCCTCTTATTTAAGGTTCTTATGTTCAGATGAGCATAGGTCACTCCCTCGGGGTCTTCAGCCATGGGGACCTGAAGGAGAAATACAAGAGTCAGGGCACAGTGAGTGATACTGGAATAGGAGTTCCTGATCTTTTTGTGTGTCATGAAAGCTTTGACGGCCTGCCTGGTGAAACCTGCAGATACCTTCTTAGTCTCACGCCTTTAACTAGATGAAATTGACTCCACAGGATTATCAAGGAAAGGGATGATACTGAAGCGCAGTTATTGAAATATTTTAAAAAATAGCCCCAACAAGTTCCGGGACCCCAGCTGGTAATCCCTGCCTTGGGGGAGGAGAAGAATGAATAGGCAAGTGATTGAGAAGCGGTCCAACCCCGCTGCCCAGAACTTGTGGTTAAAGGTTGGGGTCAAGGACAAGACAAGCTCCTCCTCCAGGTGGACGACGGGACAGGACTAACTCACCGATGGCTCCGTTGGTGTCTTCTCGGCCACTTGTGTATCTGAGGTAGATGAAAGGTTCCATCATTCCCCCAGCTCCCAAGAGCAGTACCTCCTCCCTGCTTAGAGAACTCAGATACCTCAGACCATGGTGCCTTTCCCCGGCCTCTTCCCAAGCACATAACTTACACAGTGCCTCGTCTCTGGGGGCTTCAGGGTGACGGGGTAGGCAGGCACTCCAAGGATGACAAGAGCAGCAGAAAAACCTATAGGGAGAGGGGGAGGAAATAGGACAAGAGGATGTAGGTCACTTGGGGAGCTTCCTTGAGCATCTTCTCCCCCCCCTGGCATTGTATCCAGTGCAGAGGGGACAGGGACACATCAGAAGGAAGAAACAGGGGACTGATTATTGTAGTAGGAACTGAATCTTCTTACCTCCTAAGGCTGTCTCCATGCAAGTCCCCTGCTGAGAGAAACGTGGGAAAGGAAATAATATCAGGGAAGTTCCCAAGGAAAAGGAGTCCCAGAGACTTCACTCTCTCTACCCCTTACTCACCTAGAGGGGTGGATCGATGGCAGAAGAATACCAGCAGGAAAAGGCACAGAAGGAGGGAGGAAACACAGCTGAGGGTGATGAGGAGGGTGTTACTGGGCTCTGAAGCAGGTGTAGGGGAGAGAGAAGACTCCTCATCAATCGCTCTCCTGAGGCAACTCTCGCCTTTTACTTATAATTGTTCCTGAATTTTCTCCTATCACATCGCATCGCATCGCATCGTGTCACATCACATCGCTTTGCATCATATCACATCACATCACCCCAGCATCCCACAATTTGGCACAAATCCTGCTCAGAGAAGGCTCATCCCTTAGAATTAGGATGAGAAACCCCAAACCAGGATGGAGATATGTGGGTCATAGGGAACTATGGGAAGAAAGTTGTGTCCTAGCTCACATCCTTGGTACCTATGGCCTGGAACTGAGGACAGTGTCAAAGTCTCTGTGTCTCTAGCCCGGAGCCCAGGCCTTGGTTTCATCTCCTTGTAGGGGCTGAGGGATGCAGTGGTTGTTGGCACCCTGAAGTGGCCTTGTGGGTTTCTTCCTCTCACCTCTCACTGTAATCTCCAGATGGTCACTGGGTTGTGTCCAGAGACTGCTGTTGGTGCCAGGTTGGTATCTGCAGCTATAATTGCCAGAGTGTTTGGAAGTGACATGGGTCAAAAGGAACTGGGCCTCATCTTGAGTGGTATCTGGGCTCCCCTCCTTGTGAAGAATAAACCTAGTCCTCCATGAAGGCCCCTGGCACAGGAGGGTCACGTTGGTCCCTGAGACCACCTCTGGGCCAGGCCAGGCTGACAGAGAAGGCTTGGGGAGTGCATCTGGAAACCCAAATAAAGACCAGAAATCCTCAAGGGCCCTTCCACAGTGGGGCAGGGAGGCAAGAGAAAGAAGTCCCGGAAGAACCCCTGGCCCTTAGCTCTTGGCTCTTTGTTCATTCTTTTTGCAAAGCATTCTTCCCTTGAGAGAGATAAATGCTAAACTTTGGATATTTTGTGGGGTTACTAAGAAACAGGTAGGGTGTTGCCACATTGTCCTTGTCCCTTGAGTTTGGAGTAGCTCCTGAGCCCGTCCATTCTTCTACCTGTGCCCTCCAAATATATAGGGAATGGACCCCGTGACCTCTACCTCATGATGCTCAAAAGAGCCCTAAACAACATGCCCTTCCTAGGCTGTCCCGAGTAGGCTCCCCCACACAACCATTCCTTCAGAATCCCCAAGTAGAACACTCTCTGTGTTCTACTTTATGCCCTGAGAAATTAGAGACACCCTCACCTGTCACCCAGATCTCTAGGACCTGGCTGGGCTTAGACACCTGGTATGGAACCATCTTCCTATAATAGACACAGCTGTAGTTGCCAGCATCCTGGGCTCGCACAGAGAGGAGGGGAAAGGCAGCTGAGGTCCCACCTGGGCTCTGGCTCTGCAGGGGCTGGGGGGTCCCCACCTTCAGCAGAATGAATGTCACATCACTGAGGAATGTCTGATGGGGCTGCCAGCATTGGAGAGTCACATGCATCCCAGACTCCACCACAAGGCCTGGGAGGGCTGAGAGGGAAGGCCTGGGGAGAGATCCTGTGAGAGGGAGAACATGGGCTGGGGGCAGGACAGCTGGGTCAAGCCCCTGCTCTGCCTCTGAGTCCCTGTGTGACCTTGGCCCAGTCACTGGCTCCATCTGGGCCTCAGTTATCTCCTCCATAAATGATGGGGTTGGAATAGAAGATCTCTCAGCCCTTTTGTGTTCTAGCAACCCGGGAATCTAAAGAGACTTTCACATTCGAGGGAGCCTATCCAACCTGTGGTCTCAGGCCTCTGATGACTGATGGGAAGGAAGGTCATGACCACTCACAGCGACAGGCCCAGGGCTTGGCCTAAAAACAGGGCTCAGATCATGGTCCAGGAGTGGGAAGGCTCAGGCTCAGTCATTCATTTGTTGTATGACCCTAGACAAGTCCTTCCTTCTCTCGGGGCCCCACTTTGCTTATTGATAGTGGGAGGGTTTGGCTCAGTTTCTTCTTCTGTAAAATGAGCTAGGGAAAGAAGTGGCAAATCATTCCTCCTGTGTCTTTGCCAAGAAAACCCCAAATGGGGTCGCAAGGAGTGAGAAACGACTGAACAACAACAAAAATGGGAGGGTTGGGCCTCAAGAACCTCAGACGCCCCTTTGGCTCTGGGGCTCTGGGACTCTTCTCCCAACCCCCAGCTCAGTCCCCACCAGCACCTTTCTTCCCCAGATTCTAGATCAGAAGAGAAATGCTTCGTGTTTTCCCAGGCCCCTGAGTTCTGCCAGCCCCCAGGGCAGAAGAGCTGGCTGTGTAGACACCAGGCCTTGTCTCTGTGAGGCCCCTGTCTGGGCAGAGAGCAGAGGGGTCATACTCAGAGTTATTCTGGGTCCCACACACCCCCCTCACCTGGCACCAGCAGCTCCAGGGCCTCGCTGGGCTCTGATTCTTTAGCAGACACTGTCCTTTCCATATAAGAACAGCTGTAGCTCCCAGTGTCCTCAAGTCTCACAGATGGGAGCAGGAAGCCAGTCCAGAGATCTGCTGAGGTCTGCTGCTGTAAGGGCCTCTGGGTTCCAGCCTTATACAGAGAAAAGGTCACCTCTTTAAGGGACGATAACTTGGGCCTTGAGCACCAGAGAGTGATGTTGGCCCCTGGGGCCATCACGAGGCCAGATTGGGCCCAAAATGTGGGCCTGGGGAGGAGTCCTAAGGAGAAAAAGATACCAAATGTCAGGGTTAAATGACCCTCTGAGGCTCCCTTCCTTAACCTTTTAGCAAGAGGAGAAGTAGCAACTTGGCTCTGTTCTCAATTTCTTATCTGGGGCCTGCTGGGAACACCCCCACTATTCTGGGCCCCAAAGCTGAGCCCATGTAGAACAGGAGAGGGTCCAGGGTCTCCTCCAGCCTCCCCCCAAACCATCCTGTCAGAATTCCCAGGATTTTGTGCTGTCCCCATGGCTTTGTGGGGCGCTATGTGGGGGCTGGATTTGGGGGTTTGAGGAGTTTTTATCTCCAGTTACCATACACAGTCAGCTCCAGGATCTCACTGGGATGGGACCCCCTGTAGGGGGCTGTCTTCTTGTAGTAAATACAGCTGTACCTCCCAGCGTCCTTGGCCCCCACAGACAGAAGTAAGAAAACAGCCTGGGTCCCTGCAGGGCTCTGTCGCTGGAAGGGCTCCAGGCTCTTTGCCTCCAGCAGGGCAAAACTGTAGTCCTGAGGGGATGCCATTTGTTGTGCCATTTGGCACCAGATGGTCACTCTTGTCCCTGGGTATACTGTGTAATAATGTGAGGTTGAAACGGTGGGTTTGGGGAGGGCTCCTGTGAAAGAAGGAAGGAAGAAAGTTAGGGACCTGACCTCTCACCTTGATCCCTTCAAATCATTCCCTGAAACAAAACTGAGAAGGAGGAGGGTGGGCTGAGGGTCCCTGGCCAGGCCTCTTCACCCAATCCTGTATATAAGTTCATGTCTGCATAACTGGGCTCCTGGGTCACCTTCAGAAAGGTGCTCTGGGCCCAGGAAGGCTGTGAATGTGCAGAGAGATGGGAGGAGAAGGTACTTGGGAAGAGGTGTTTGCCATCCCCCACCTCTTCTCACCTCCTTCAAAGGGCCCAGCTGGCCCTACAGCTTGGGCCTGCTGGACCCTGGCAGGATCCTAATGCATGACCACTGGCATATTCAGACCGTTCTGTTAAGCTTTGAGGTTTGCAAAGCTCTGTCCTCCCAATAACACCATGACTGGGAGGTTAGACAGAAACTTGGATTCTCAGTCCTTGCCCTTACTCACTTCCCCACACTGCTGCCTGGTGTCAGGTCCCTGGCCTGCCACCCCCTGCCCTCCTCTCAGTGAAGGCAGAACAGAGCTGGCAGAGCTGTGTGTGTCTCTGGGTGGGCAGGGGCTGGCAAAGGAGGATGGGGGCTCCCTCTTGGCTGTTCTGTGATGAATAAGATTTTCTCTGATTCTCTTTCCCTCACTGATAACTCACCTATCAGGCGCCTCATGCTCAGCTATGTGGGAGCCCCAAAGGTTTAGGGAAGATTCCATCCCTGCTGCCCTCAGGAGCTCACAGTCCCAGGGAATACAGGGGTTTGAGCTCAAATGACATCTTTGGATAATGCAGGTTATAAGCTTCGTGTCCTGGAAGAGGGAACTGAGGTCTGTAGAAGGTAGGGCAGTTGCCTACAGACACCCAGCAAGGATCTATGGGGGCAGGCGTTTGAACCCCCTGTCACACACTCCTGATCTCAGGTCTCTTCCTCCTTCAGCTGGCTGCCTTCTAACATAGGCCAGATGGACAGCAGCCTGGGGTGGTGGGAAGGGCCTGAATACCAGAGTGGGAGCAGGAGAGAGGTGTAGGCAGCACACTGGGAGGGCCGAAGGCTAAGGGCCAGGACATTGCCACTGGGCTCAACTCAGGGTCAGCATCCTGGAGCAGTCAGCATCCGAGCTGGGCTTTAAGGATGTGAGGGAAATGATGGATGAAAGTGGGAAGGGCATGACAAGCACGAGGAACCATATGAGCAAAGGCCAAACGGTGGGACATGATGTGGGTTGATTGAATCATATGGCCAGGCTGATGGGAACATAGTGAGAGCAGAAGGAAGCAGTGGTAGAGACAACTGCACATATTGGTGCCTGGTTCTTAAAGACAGGAGAAACAATCTGAACAAAGTCTGCTCAACAAAAGGGAGCTTCAGAAGGGTATGCCCTTTCTCTCAAATTCTGTGTGTGTCTTCAGAGAGAGGAGCACCACAGCTCTCATGCCTGGGTCACCAGATTAGGAAATATCCCTGGATTTGGTGTGAGTTTCATGGGTTCAAATCTTGGCCATGACAGCAAAGGACCAGGCAACCTCACATCACCTTACCGCCTCTTCAGGCCTCAGTTTCCCTGTATCTAAAATGGAAATTGTGGTACATATGCTGTCCTCCTCACAGATTATTTAGGGGAAAGATTTCACAACCTTATCTATGACCCCAAAATGTGAGCTGGGAAGACAGGGGCTCCTGGAGTCTGGGGAGGAGAGAGTGGTGGTAAGGGGAGGCAGGTAGTAAAGCCTGAGAGCTCATCCCACTTGTAGGTGACTCTCCAGTGAAGGATCTGGGGCTCCTCTCTCAGGACTGGCTTCCTTCCCACCAGGGATGGCTGTAGACCAGCACCCCCTCACCTGTCACCACCAGGGCCAGAGCTTCACTGGGCTCTGACCACCACGGCCCCTGCCCAGAGCGGCAGCTGTAGCTTCTGGCATCTCTCTGGTCATCCACATTCCTGAGCACAAACTCTGCCTGCTGCCAGGATTCATTTCTCTCATCTCTGAGCTCTCCATCGTTCCAGAGCTGGAATCTGTCACTCCCCAGGTGGCCCTGGCACCTGAGGGTCACATCTGCTCCCTTGGGGACCACAGGACTTGGGACAGCCCAGAGGGTGGGCCTGGGAAGGGTGTCTGAGAAGGAAACAGAGTTCAGAGTTCCAGGGATTCCTCTGGCCCTAGTTTTTTTTTTCAGCTCTGAATCCTGAGCTTCCACCCTGATATACCCCATCTATTCATTCCAACGTTCTCTTTTCCCTCACTGATTATTGTGGGGGATGGCTATCTGAACTGAATTAGGACAAAGAGAAGGAGAAGGGCAATAGTGTTGGGGACACCTTACCCATCTGTGCCCTCACCGCCCAGTCCAGACACAGCCCTGTAAGAGAAGCTCAGGTTATAGATGCCTCCCCTCCAGCCCATGCTGACCCCATTCCCAGCTCTCACCAAAGCCCCTGCACCTCTCAGTCTGCTTTGGTCAGAATATGAAGGAAAAGCCCTCTGAGCAGACACTGGGGTCTGGCTCTGCCCAAGAAGCTTCTGTCTCCTCCACAGGCTTCCTTCCTGTCCTTCAGCATTGGGAGCCAAGGACCTTGTCACAATGTCCTTCTCTCCCCAGGTCTGACCCTGGACACTCACCAATGGAGATCAGGAAAGTGACTGTGGGGCCCATGGTGGGTCTTCAGCTCTGTTCTGGACTGCCCAGGCTCAACTGTGCAGAGAGGAAAAGGTAGGCAGACTAGAGGCTGGCCCAGGATGCGGTGGCCAGCCCTGCTGTCTTACACCCCCTAAACCCAAGCCCCACAGCTTCTGCTTTTATACTGATGAATGAGGGACCGTGGTCCTTCAAGGCTTAGGTCAGAGGAGATCATGGTGTCATAAGGTAAATGCAACCTGCCAAAGACCAATGGCTCTGATGGCTAGCTAGTATTGAAGGCCACTGAAGGGGATCAGGGCAAAAAATACCAGGACTTCCCTGGAAATGACAGGGGGCCCCCCATGAAAGCCTCACCTTGAAAAGCCCAAGACTAGACACCAAGGCTAAAGGGGCCCATGGCGCCTCACCTCAAAACTTAGTCCCAGACACTCGGTGTCTTTGCTCCCCGTTTGGTGTACTTATTGGGTGAGTCATCCCTCGCCCTCTTTTCGTGATTGACCCTGATAAACAAATGACATAATTATAACTAGCGTTATTAAGCATTTTCGTGTTTGCCAAGCACCTGACACATATTGTCTCATTGCATCCCCACAACAACCTTGAGAGGTAGCTGTTAACATTATTCCCATTTTACACATGAAGAAACCAAGGCAGACAGGTTAAATGAATTGCACAGGTAGTAAGCATCTGAGACAAGATAGGAGGTGAGGTATGAAGCTGCCCCCATGTATTGTAGGAGTTCAGTGCAGACAAGAGGCCGCCACCCTCCAAGCACTTAAATGTCCCCGATATTGCACCTTCTTTAGGCTACCCCAAAGGCAGCACTGTTCAGCACAGGGAAGGCCAACCATAGTGTTTGCTGCTCTGTTTCAGGACTGGAACTCAATTACTTAAGCAGTGCACCTACCCACAGAGTTGACCCTTGACCCAGGGGTTTCTGTGTGAGCAGAGCTGACTGTCTATATTATTGCTCAATGCTTTCCTGATAAGGGGCCTCATGAAGCAAGCAGGCTCCACATGGGATAAGTCCCAATTCAAATGCAGTGACCATTTATTAAGCTCCTACTATGTGACCTGCCCTGTGTCATGTACTGGGAGTGCAAGGACAAAAGAGAAATAGTCTCGGACCTCAAAGAGCTTGTACTCCATGGAGGTGGGGGAATACAGGTTAGTATATGCCCATACAAAATATATACACAAAGATTTCAGGGCAGAAGTCAAAGTTGTAACTTGAAGGACAATTTGTTAGCAATAGAAGAGGGCTCCCAGAGGGCACAAAGCAAGAGTAGAAGAGAATGGGATGGGTCCCTAATGGGAGGGAGGCTGAAATGGATAGGCATGATAGAAGAGAGTCTGAGGACCAGGAAGGCAGCCCACAGCTCAGAATCCTGAGTGGACACATTGCACAGGGGATTGTCAGCCCTTTACTGTGATAAAAAGCAGGTTCATTATGTTCATGAGTCCCTGTGAAAGATGTGGCAAACCCCTGTGTGATGGCAGGTCAGATGGTCACTGGTCCTGTCTGATGCACATCATCGAATACTTCTTAATCATTTAATGTTGGCCGAGTTCTAAACTAACTGCAGGAGATTCAAAGACAGAGAACTTCTCAAGGGGCTTCCATTCTCTCAGGTGAGACAACAATACACCTGTGTTTGTGCAGAATAAATTTAAAATGAATCAATACAAAATAAACACTACAAAATAGATACAAATTGGCATGAGAGGGAGGACACTAGCAGGAAAGACTTTCTGTCTCAAGTGGCATGTGAGGAGGGGCCCTTGAGCTCAAAGCCAAGAGGCAGCACATTACAGCCATGGGAAATAATCTTTGTAAAGGCGTGGACATAATAGATGGAGATCAATGTGAGAAAAAGGACTTCTTTGGCTGTACCTTAGAGCACAGGAAGGGATCAATGCATCACAAGGTAAGAAAGGTGCTTTGGGACCAGGTTGTAAAGGGTATTCAAAGCCATACCCAGAGATCTGTATTTTATCCTAAAGGTAATAGGGAGCCATCGGTGTTTACGGAGTTAGGGGGTGACATGGTCAGTCCTGTTTTTTTGGAAAATTACTTTGCCAGCTGAGTAAAAGATGGATTGGGGTGGGGAGAGGCAATGCTCAGCGGAGATCTGGAGCCAGGCTAGTTGTAGAGGAGTGAAGAATGTTTGAGATACTCACCCCAGCCAGGTCAGCTCAGCTCCATATTTGGACTCACTCCTGGTGAATTGATTATGTCCTCCCAGCTGGGAGGCATTGAAGGGTCATTGTTCCTGAACCAGAAGCCAGTGTTCAGTGAGAGAAGAGGCGAAGCTCTGATCCTTCCTGACAGTCGGAATATAGAGTGGTTTTCCACCATCCCTATGAAGACCTCCAGGGACAGGGAGCTCACTACCACACAGCTCTGATTGGTAGGAGATTCTTCCTCACCTGCAGCTGATTCTGCCTCCCTCACACTCTCCCCACCTTGGTCCTGGTGCTCTCATCTGGGGCCTCCCAGAACAAATCTGGTCCCTAGGGCTTCCTCTGACAGCCCCTCTCACCCTTGAAGGTGGTCCTCATGTCCCAGCCATCCCCAGTGACCTTAGTCTAGTCAAACATCCCCAGTTCCTCCCACAGATCTGTCTACAATGAGGATTAGTACCAAATCCCTACTCCCACCCCATGCTCTCTTGGCCCAGCCGGGCCATGTCTGTGACTCTCACCTGGACCTTCTCCAGTAAGTGTGCCTCTTTGAATGCGTTGTCCAGAATGAGGTTTGTCCAAAAAAAAAAAAAAAACCCTGAATGGGACAGGAATAGAGGAGGTTTTGACCAGAGATAAGGCTAGGCACTCTGGGATTTGCAGAAGTTGCAGGATAGGGGAAAATGGAAGCACGGCTCTGATTTCTTAACTTCCTGATGAGTAAGTATGGTCTGGGGTTTGGCCAACTTGCATATGTGTCTGTGGGACAACTGTTCCTTCCACCACATCCTGTACCAAACCTCTAGTTCTGTTATCTCCTTCAGTCTGCCCAACAGAAGTGGGTACTAGACACTCACCTCCCTGTTCTGACCTAGTGGCTTCAAAGGCTTCACTGGAGACCTGAAGGAGCATCTGAAAAGACCTTTAGAAAGGAGGTTTTAGAGGAAAGGACTCCTGGGGACTAAAGCGAAAGCAGAACATAACCAATGCATCTGTTTCTCTCTCTCTCTGTCTGTCTCTTGCTTTCATCTAGTCTCTTGAGCCCAGGACAGAGTCTGGGTATGTGGGGAAGGCAGGGTTATCTTCTAGTGGGATTATGTGTATGTGTCTGGTCCACAGTCCAGAAGAATGAAGAAGAAGAGGGTCCATCCTTCTCCTTCAAGTTCCCCTTGTCCTTGCTTAGCACAAATGTTCCCTCAGTGGAACTCAAGAGGCTGAGGCTGGACAAATCCAAGAAAGGATGCCAATTTTCTTCAAAGATCAGACCTTGATTTTCGAAGGGCACACTGACATGCCTCTATTCTGGACCCAGTAGGGCTCAGAGGTCTCTAAGAAGTCAGATATGAAGCTTCATCACCAGATATCCCTCATAAGATGAGTTTCCCATAGTTGAAAAATAGAAACTTCAAAAATCTGAGAAACTGATCTCCATGGGAAATTATTTCTCCCTCCAGAATGTAGGATCTGATGATACAGAGAGGCTTGACTGATGTCATTAAAAAATGATTGTCAGGTATGTTGTATTAGGAAGTCCTTACGTGAATGGGTTGGAACACATCATTAGTGACATCCCTTCCAATGTTCACCTTCATCAAATCTGTGATCAGGGTTCAGTGAACATTTGGGAGCTAGTTGAGGCAGATAAGGGGAAAATGATACCTGAAGAGGGGCCGCAGCCATGAATAGACTCACAGATGGAAATAGTTCTACTTGTTACGTTAAAAATAGAATCAGTGACTTCATTTTGCCTTTATCTACCATTTCGTGAAGCTAAGTTTCAGCTGCTTGTAAATCACCAGATTTCAGAGAAGTCACAAGATTACTCCCCTTTCCAATGGTCATCCAACTAAAGGAATGTCACAAAACTCTCCCTCTCTCTCTCACCTTAGTATCTCCTGATTCCCTCTACTAACCCTTTCCCGCTCACCTCAATGTCTCCTGATCCCCTCCACCCATAGGAAAACAAGTGTCTCATTCCCTACATCTTTTTTTTTCTTTGTTTTTCATCCATCCAAAACGTATATTAACTGTTTAGAAATCAATGGTCAATAGCCTTGGCTACTGTGAGCTTTGGACCTGTATCATCTCTGCAACCACATGCATTGCTAAATTAATCCTGGATATAACTACTCAGTTTGTTTATTCCTCTGTAACAACCCCTTCTTCTATGGGTGCCCAATCCAGAAGATAGGGAATAAATGGGTCCTAAATCTAGCATACATGGATGGAGGAATCAGGACAGGATGGTGAGAGCTGAAGGTACCAGGTCCCTGCCTGTACTCTGTGGAAAGGACCGTAACCCATAGTCAAGCTCCATGAACCAATAGAGGGGGAAGGAGGAGAGTCCTTCAGCTGCTCAATCCTGTCCCATATCTGAGTCCCATTGAGATGAATGAGTAAGAGTTCATTTCTATATCTTGTGTCTCCTCTCCCCAGATTTCCCCACAAACTCTCCTTCCCAGCTTTACTCAGCCACTATTTGGCCAAAGGAGAAAACATTTTTTAAAGTGCAGAGATCAGTCTAGGTGTGACATCAATGTTGCTCAAGATACAATACAGGGGAAATATCGTCTTTGACTTTTTCATCTAAAGATCTGGTGATTTTAGTGAATAGAAAGCTTGAGAAGTTAACAATGTGGTGAGATGGTGACCTCAAACACAGCTGAGATCTTCACCTGGATTAAAAGAGGCACAATGTTGAGAACACAGATGGTGATGGTTTTACCATACTATGACCCAGCCAGACTACACCCAAAGTACTGTGATAAGAGGTGAATGAGATACTCTCAGAAGGACATATATAACCTTGGAAAAATCTAGGGCAGGGTGATCAGAATGGATCTTATTTAGCATCACGGATCATAGATACAGAGGGACCTCAGAGGCAATGTAGTCTAACCTTTTCATTTACAGATGAGGAAATCATGGCTCATTGACTTACACAGAGGTAAGGAATGGAAGACCACGTCATAAAAAGGATATATTGGAGTAACTAGGCATACTGGACCTGAAGAATACTTAGTGGCCATTATTTGTAATAGTATTTTTCTCCAATTACATGTTAAGATGATTTTTAGCAATTTTACAAGACTTTGGGTTCCAAATTTTTTTTCCTCCTCTTCCCTCCTGTCTTCTGAAAATGTTAGGCAAATTGATACAGGTTACGCATGTACTATCACATAAAACATGCTTCCATATTAGTCACAGTTGTGAAAGAAAACAGATCAAAAGGAAAGAAAGCACCCAAAAGAGTAAAGGGAATGAAGAACTTTGATCTCAACCCAGAGTCCATGAGTTCTTTATCTGGATGTGGATAGTATTTACCTTTGTGAATCTTTTGTACTTCTCTTGGATCTTTGTGCTGCTGAGAAGATCTGAGTCATTCAGAGTCGGTCACCACACAATGTTGCTGATACCGTGTACAATGTTTCTCTGGTTCTGCTCATTTTTGCATCAGTTTGTACAAGTCTTCCCAGGTTTTTCTGAAGTCTGCCTGCTCAGCATTTCTTATTGCACAATAGTATTCCATTTAATTCATATGTTACAGCTTATTCAACCAATCCTCAATTTATTGCGTGCCCTCAATTCCCTACATTTTGTTAGCAGCCATTGCCATTGGCTTCAAGTATTTGAAAGAGCACTGGATGGAGAAAGCATTAAATTTGGAGTGCTTATAACGAAATATAAAATTAGGAGCAATAGTCTCAAATTGCAGAAAGGCAGACTTTACCTTGATATAAGAAAAATATACATTTTCTCTTTTTAAATTTTATTTAGTATTTTTTCTTTTCTAGTTACATGTAAAAAGAATTTTTTAACATTCATTTTTTAAAATGTTGAGCTCCAAATTCTTTCCCTTTTCCCCCCAACCCCACCCCTATTGAGAAGAAAAGCAATTTGATACAGGTTATACATGTATAATCATGCAAAACATTTCCATAATGCCCCTGTTGTGAAAGAAAACATAGACACACACACACACACACACACACACACACACACAAAACCCTCAAGAAAAATAAAGTAAAAAAGTATGCTTCAATCTGTATTCAAACACAATCAGTTTTTTCTCTGGGGATGGGTAACATTTTTCATCATAAGTCTTTCAGAATTGTCTTGGATTATTGTATTACTAAGAATAGCTAAGTCATTTCCAGATGATCATCTTATAGTAATGCTGTTTCTTTGTGCACTAGTACATTCCACTGTGCATCAGCCCATGCAAGTTTTCCAGGTTTTTCTGAGTGCTTATCACTTCTTTTAGCACAATAGTATTCCACCATACTCACAGTATCACAATTTTTTCAACCATTCCCCAATTGATGGGCATTCCCTCAATTTCTAATTCCTTACCCCCAGAGAAGAGCTGCTATAAATATTTTTGTACGTATAGGTCCTTTTTTTTTTTAAAATCTCTTTTGGGATACAGACCTAGTAGAGATATTCCTAAATGAAAGGGTATGCATAGTTTTATAGCCTTTTAGACATAGGTCCAAATTGCTCTGCATAATGGTTGGATCAGTAGACAATTCCACCAACAGTGCATTAATGTCTCATTTTTTCCACATCCCCTCCAACAATTGTCATTTTCCTTCTCTGTCCTATTAACCAATCTAATAGGTATGTGGTAGTACTTCAGAATTGTTTTAATTTGCATTTCTCCAATCAAAAATGAGTGAGGGTATTTTATATGGCTATAGGTAGCTGGATTACTTCATCTGAAAACTGGTTATATTTTTTGATCATTTATCGATTGGGGAATGGCTCTTATTTTTATAAATTTGACTCAGTTCTCTATATGTTTGAGAAATGAGGCCTTTATCTGAGAAACTTTTGCCAATTTTTTTCATAGTTACTATTGCTAGCTATATTTCCCTCCATCCTATCCACCCAGTTTATTCTTTTCTCTCTCTTTTTTCACCCTGTCCCTCCTCAAAAGTGTTTTGCTTCTGACTACCCCCCCAATCTGCCCTCCCTTCTATTATACTTCTTTCTTATCCCCTTCCACTCCTCCTTTCCTGTAGCACAAGATAGATTTCTATATCCAATTGAGTATTCATGTTATTTCTTCTTTGAGCTAATTATGATGAGTGAGATTTACTCACTGCCCCTCACCTCTTCCATTTTCCACTCCACTGTATAGGCTTTTTTCCTGCCTCTTTTCTGTGAGATAATTTACCCCATTCTACCTCTCCTTTTTCCTTTCTCCCAGCACAGTCTTCTCTTACCCCTTCATATTCAACTCACATCTGTACAATCTATCTAGATATCCTCCTAACTGCCCTAATAATGAGAAAATTCTTGTGTTACAAGTGTTATCTTCCTAGTTTAACCTTGTTAAGTCCCTTATGATTTCTCTTTTCTTTTTACATTTTTATGCTTCTCCTGAGTCTTGTATTTGAAAATCAAATTTTCTATTTGGCTCTTGTGTTTTCATCAAGAATGTTTGAAAGTCCTCTATTTTGCTGAAAGTCTATTTTTTTTTCTCCTCAAGAAATATACTCAGTTTTGCTAGGTAGGTGATTCTTGCCTGTAATCCTAACTCCTTTGCCCTCCAGAATATTGTATTTCAAGCCCTCTGATCCTGCAAAGCAGAAGCTGCTAAATTTTGTGTTATCCTGATTGTGGCTCCACCATAGTTGAATTGTTTCTTTCTGGCTGCATGCAGTATTTTCTCCTTGACTTTGGAGCTCCAGAAT